GCGTGGTTTCTCATCATCAAAAATGTCTGTTGAATTGGTTGTCATTCTTCAAAAATCTGTCATTAGTTTTTCATTCTGAAGAATCTCTGTTGAATCTGTCATTCCTGTTGAATTTGGCTAGTTTGTTTTTCATTCGCAAAAATATCTGTTGAGCTGTTTTTCTTTCTTGAAGATCTCTGTTCTTTGATTTCTCATTTTCAAGAATTTCTGGTAAATTTATTGTGTGGTTTCTCATCATCAAAAATGTCTGTTGAGTTGGTTGTCATTCTTGAGAATCTGTCTTGTAAATTTTCATTGTAAAGAATCATTGGATCTGTTAGCTGTTTCCCATTTGCTTTAAGTATGGCCCTCTTTTTCATTTATCGTTTGCTTGCGCTTTATTAAGCCCGGTTTATTGAACTTATGATAAACTGTTAGAAAATGCAATCTGAGGGATAAAAATTGGGCCAAAATAATCAATTCAATAGCTTTGAAGTGCACAAACCCAATTGCTGGGACACTATTCTCGAAACAGGGGAGCAGTGTTCTTATGAGAACGAGGGTTCTGTCTTCGTCGTCCGTATTCATATTTCCATAACACTGACAATGACAGAGCAATCATTCTCATGAGAACGATGTTCCCGGTTTCAAAAATAAAGTACCTGGAAAACAACACATATCTACCTACTTAATACAAAAATGAAGAATAAGATTTAATTATAGTTTGTTTTTTTTTTGGAAAATTATCTTAGGTTTTCAACTAAAAATGGTGGCCATTTTTTTCTAACTTGCCATTACCATTAGGATACAAAATCTCGACAAAAAAAAAATGAAATTTCATCGTTTTAGTAAGAAGGTACCTATGATTTAGATTTTGGAAAACTTTGAAAGGTCCTAACTTTTTTTCTATTATAGATAGAAAGCTGAAACTTTCACTGAATTTTATTCCAATTAAGGGACTACAATCCCTGGAAATTTAAACTCATTTGGACTTATACTTCCAGAGATAAAATCGTGTTAAGCAATTTGGGGTGATTTATCAATTTTTCAATTTTTCTGAGTGCCTTTTTTCATAGATTTGGGCTTCAACTCTGGGAAAAATTTATTTTATTTATTCATTTATGGGACTTTTAATATGTCATGAATGACCATAAAAACAATACATTTTCGTTAAAAAACCCTTGTCATTAATTTGTTCCACCCCAACTGCCAATTTGACCACACTATAGCGACTTGTTACATTTATGTAAAAGCTGGAAAAACAAAAAGCTGGTGATCGGGTTAATCGGAATAATCGGATCAGCGTTTCCGGAAGGACGCAATGTAGGATCTAACAAAATGGCGTAAGTCTAATATTTGGATATACGCCTTTTAGTCAGATCCTATATGTAATTGCTGTGTACTTACGCCTTTAGCTGATTTTATATATAGAGAGAAGTAATACCTTTGAGCATACGCGCTTTCGTCAAATCATACATACAACTCTAAAAAATCACTCGGCGACCTTAACTCAAATTCGGAATAATTGACCGTTACGCCCTTTTGTCAGATCAGCGACGATATGGCTTTTTATCATGTTTCTCAACTTAATACAATACCAAACTGTTATGGGAACTTTCTTGACCTTATTTTTAGTAAAAGAGTGGATGTAATTGTCAGTGTGGACCCAGACCCAATCCTCAAGAATGATATTCCTCACCCGGCACTGATTCTTGTACCACTTAATTGCTAAAAGGGTAATAACTTCAAGCAGTGTAACGTTAGGGGTGTTATCGATTGTCTGGGTTCGGTTGACTGGGATAATGGGTTTGCCAATACAGATTTGGATGGGGTCATTAATAGAGAGTATTTGCAACCCTTAAAATAACAGCAGTTTTTGGATCAATTATGGTTACCACGACCTTCAAAATCAGAGATTTTGTAACGCCAAATGTTTTAGTTATTTATGTATCAAGGGAATTATGAGGGTGTTAATTCCCCAAGGCAAAGTTTGTGTCCTGAGGGCCTTTGGCCCAAGAGACACCAATAGGGAACTTGCAAGTGAAGTAAAATTTTCCAAATTTGTTTTAAATCGATAGTTTATGCTGCATAATATTCATATGACCAATTTTTATTTAAGTGATACCGCCCTTGTTACACAAAAAATAATATTAAATCTGACCGCGGTCAAATTTAACCAAATTTTAGTATGATATAGATCACACCTTTCTGATCAATAACTCTCGTGGGCACAACTTAATCCTATGACTAGTTTTTGAGATGCAGGTAGTTTAACGTCCAAGAAATGCACACATTTTATATGCATTTACATCTACCTGTCACCTAATAATACCAGGATGGACAGGTATCCTCATGCTCAGGTGACAGGTAGATGTAAATGCATATAAAATGTGTGCATTTCTTGAACATTAAACTACCTGTATCTCAAAAACCAGTCATAGGATTAAGTTGTGCCCATGAGAGTTATTGATCAGAAAGGTGAGGTCTATAACATATTAAAATTTGGTTAAATTTGACCGCGGTCAGAAATCCCATAAGAAGTGTGCGGGGTCCAAAATAAAAATTTTCCCGCCAAAACAATGCTCCTATGATGAATACCTGTTTTGACGTCACGATTCTGTAAACAAACCCGTCAATAGGAAAATCTGTGATAGGGAACTTGCACGTAAAAAAAATACAAAAGCAGTCCTTCACAATATTCTTCATCCATTGCGACAATTTTCATAAAAAGCAAACTTTAACACACTTGAATAACACAAAAATAGCACTGCGTCAGCAGGAGTTCGTTTGCTGTGTATTTGATGTTTACAAAATCTCAACGTCACAAGCGCTGTCAAATTGAGATTTCGTGTTTTCGCGCCAAAGTATTTCATTTGAATTTCAATAATTTTTTTTTCGTACAACATATAAATTAAAAAGGAAAAAAAGAAAATTATGTAATAACTGATGACTAGAAGTATCTAAAAAAAAATAATTTGAGAAATATGAAAATTCCCTATTGCTCGTGGGTATAAACACCTGATAATTCTCGTGGTACATAGATAATTTTATTTCCTACTGAATTTACTGTATTTTGTCCATTTTTATGAAGGAAAAAACCATAAACCAAAATTTCTACTTTTTCTCGAAGTTTTACCTATTCAAGGTAAAAGCGGGAGTTATGGAAAAACTCCCGCGCGGGAGTTAAGACCCTGTTTATGATTATCGTAACCAAGGTATTATATGGTTATAATAGTTCAGTAGGAAATAATAGTTATTTAAATTACAAGTGCGTTTATGAACATGATTACAATAACGAGTGTGAAAGATTAGAACGACGAGGTCGTAGACCGAGTCGTTCTAATCACACGAGTTTTGTAGTCATTTTTAAACGCACGTGTGATGTACAACGTTTTATCTACAAAGCGTAAAATAAGAATCTTTTTTCAGTCATTTTCTTTTATCAGTCGTTGTCTACCTTCATTTTACCTTTACAGGTTTAACATTGACATTTGTCAAATCACCAAAAATAGTTGTGTTATGAATTCATAACCGAGTCCATAACACCGCTGTTTTGATATGAGTCTCATGACATAACTCAAATACTAGAAAAATGGTTATGCAAAAACGTCGTAGATAAAATTTATTATTATACATAATTTTCTGCTTTTCTAGTATTCCATACTAGTTTTGTCGTTTTGTGTTGCTTTTTGTCACACTTTTGCTAATTCCGTATTATTCTATCAATTTGCCAACGTTGCCATATCTTGTTGGATGAATAAATAATAAGTGGAAGAAACTAAAGAATGGGACCTGAAAAACGCAGTAGGCTGTGGATGCGGCTATTTTTTATTTAGAAACGCAAATTGTGATCATTAAAGTGATAATCCACACTTATTTTTTCAGATGATTTTGAATTCAATTTTCTTCAATGTGGCATCCACGCAGTTTTAACATAACCATAGGTATAGCTATAAGCATAAGGTTATTTCTCCCTAAATAAGGCCGATTGTGTGGTACTGAATTGCTCCTTAGAAAACGCTCTTTTGGAATATTGTAATGAGCCACACCCTTTCCATTTGAAAAAATTGAGATAATTACAAAAATGTACTTCTACTATCTCTAAATGAGTCTGTTGCTCTAGATTAAAAACTAAAAATTTAAATAATTTAGAGATTAAATGTCAAAAAGTGACAAATGAGGTGTCATTGTACTCGTAAAGGCCGTTTTACAGCTTGCAAGAAAACTTGAATGCAATTTGTTGCATGCAAAAAAATTGCATTCAAGATTTCTTGCACATCGTTTTACACCTTGCAATTTTACTTGTTTCCTTCTCTAACCTTAACCATACTGTTTTGTTTTTAATATTGTGTTGTTGATGTTTACATTTTCTAAAAATAAAAAAAGTGATTATAAGTCGATATAAAAAGAAGAAAGCAATAGCAGCAACTTTAAACATCATAATTGCTAAAAATTTGCAAGCTTGCACGAAAACCTTCAAGAAAAATGGAACCAAACCGATTGCATGCAATGCCATTCAAGTTTCAAGAATCTTGCAGAAACCAATCAGCTGACTCACTTCTGCGCATGCCCCCGTTCAAGTTTCTTGCATATTGCAGATAGAATTGCAAGCTGTAAAACGGCCTTGATATAGTTTTCAATTGAAATAAGGGAAAATATACCTGGCGTCTCATTTAAAATAAGAAAGTTACGGCCACTTCCGGTGAAACCGGAAATGAAAATAAATAATTGAATATGTCAAATAATGCATATCCGGGTCATAAATAAACACACCAGATTTCATTTGTTTATTATGAAAAATAAAAAAGTTAAAGGGGTGAGCGTATTTTGAAAAACACCTGGTATATAGATTTGTTGGACACACCATTTGAATATAAATTTGTGAATATTGAAAAAATAAAATACCGCCATTCTGCATAGAACCGTTCAATTTTCGACATTTTTTGCATATAACTATCAGGAATAATGGTTCTTGTTTCAACATTTGTTGCTGTTGTAAATTTTTGAAATTCTAAACTCACCTGTAACTGCGTTACAAGAGCTGGTAAAACTCCTGTAATCTGAATCTCTGACCAAGTAGGATTCTCCTTTCTTATAATATTCCTTAAAGCTGCTTGCAGGAGATTCGGATGAATGTTGAAGGCATTAGTATTGATAGCTACCGGAAAAAAAATACAATTTAAGTTTTAAATTTAATAAATCAAGGTATTTTTACCTCCCAAATTTGTACTTCCAATAGTTACTGCAGTTTTTCTAATAACTTTCTCGTTTTCGAATTCATCCCAAGCTGCTTTCCGTTCTTCCTCATTCAATTCTTCATCTTGTTTATTTTCCAACAAAGTTTGATGCTCGTGATATTTATAAATCGTCTTATCATATTTCTGTAACATTTCGCCCAGCAAAACGTCTTTTGGTACTCTCGGAATGGGCCTCTCCTCCTCAGGTTCCAGATCAGTCTTGTACAATTCTTGTATATCGTTTTGACTGTAATGTCTGTCGATTTGTTGTTCGTCGATGACACGCTTCGATATAGCTTGTTTGGTAACTTGTCTTTCGTATATTTTCATTTCCATCGCTCCGTGAGTAACAAATCGGTAAATGTAGGATGGTTTTGTTTGACCAAATCTGTATACTCTATATATGCTCTGGATGTCGTGCGAGGGATTCCATGAGACGTCGAAGATTATTACTCTATTTGCTGCGACTAAGTTTATTCCCAAACCACCAGCTTTTGTTGATATAAGAAAGAGTCTGAAACAAAATTTCACAATATTATTTTAGTGCTTGAAACATTTAGGATATTTTTGTCCATTTGGAAGAGAGTTTGTTAGAAAAAAATGTTGAACGAAGGCCGATGTTGAAGTTGGATTCAAGGTTCAATCAAAATCAAATCAAATCAAAAAATATTTATTGCAAATTCACACATACAAAAGGAAAAAAATACAAATAAACATTTGGTATGCCCTGCTTAAGTTTTGCAACTTGACTGCAAGTGTTAATAATAAAATAAACTAATATAATTAGTATTTTCATGGTAGCATGTAGTAGTTTACGATAGATTCAATAACTAAATAAATACTATTTTTCTTTTATTATTACCTTGCTCTTGTATTGTTCGGATTATTAAATTCATCACACCAACCAGCCCTATTCTCGCAGCTCGACGATCCATCTAATCGGAAATAGTCCAATCCGATGGCCCAACTGCCCGAATGTCCTCCAACTTTTTCAGGTTCCCCATTTTGCGTGGCCTCGTCTATTTTGGCCAGGAAATATTCTATAGAGTTTAGTGTGTAGAGGGACTGCGAGAATACCAAACTGGAAGAATTTCGACAATAATTATAAATAAATAAATAAATAAATAAATAAATAAATAAACATTTATTATGCAACATAACAAAAAGTTTACATTACATAAAAGGAAACATTCACATAGTGTTCTTCCATGCTACCTTGCTTTTGAAAACAATAATTTTCACAGTTTATGTGTTTATTTGTTGTGCCTGCTGTAGAAGACAAGACTTATATTTCTAGTATCTATAGATGGAGACCCTGTCTTCATTTTACTTGTATTAAACCCAGTTCCGGGATGGAACCAAAAATGGGTTGTGTTTTCTCTCTGCGGGACCTAAACCGTGCTGATGAGCTGTGATACAGCGAAACGCGTCCACGGATGGTCTTGCAGAGATAAAACACTTCTCAATCGGTCCTTAATTGGGCCGTTACCTAATTAATATCAATGTTTTTCGGTACCAACCGACTTTACTTCTGGTTGGCAACTAGAATAGCTATTCTCGCAATTGTGGCGAATGCCTTTGCGAGTCGATTTGCTCTAATTTAATACTGGTTTATACGGTTGTTAGTAGCAATTTTTAGTGTGCCGATCAGAAAAATAGATGGAGACCCTGTCTTCATTTTACTTGTATTAAACCCAGTTCCGGGATGGAACCAAAAATGGGTTGTGTTTTCTCTCTGCGGGACCTAAACCGTGCTGATGAGCTGTGATACAGCGAAACGCGTCCACGGATGGTCTTGCAGAGATAAAACACTTCTCAATCGGTCCTTAATTGGGCCGTTACCTAATTAATATCAATGTTTTTCGGTACCAACCGACTTTACTTCTGGTTGGCAACTAGAATAGCTATTCTCGCAATTGTGGCGAATGCCTTTGCGAGTCGATTTGCTCTAATTTAATACTGGTTTATACGGTTGTTAGTAGCAATTTTTAGTGTGCCGATCAGAAAATAGATGGAGACCCTGTCTTCATTTTACTTGACTTATATTTCTTTTTGAAATTAACGGTTGTGCTTGAAGTTATTAAGTTAAAAACATCTGAATTTAAAAGTTGTATTGCTTGAAAAGAGAAAGAGTTCCTAAATTTTGCTGTTTTATGCTGGGGTATGTGAAAGCGAACCATATTTCTTAGAGTAAGATTGTGTAAGTCTTGTCTCTCGATAAAATACTTCACCAAGTAACTCGGGCAGCCCAATTTAAAAATTTTACAAACAAATTGCCCAAAATGCAGGATAGCACGTTGCTCGTATTTTAGTATGCTGTTTGCTAAATATGTGGGAGTCACATGATCAAACTTCCTTACACAGAAAACAAATCTTATACAAGAATTTTGTGCAAGTTGTATTTTGTTTTTATATCCAGAGCTCAGATAATGGTAAAAAACTACGCTACAGTAGTCCAACTGAGAAAAAATTAGTGCTTCAACCAGCATCAGTTTAATCTCACTAGGCAGGATGAATTTAAAAGGATATAGACTTCGCAGCTTGGCATATACAAATGACAGCTTTTTGTTCACGTGTAGCTGAAAGTCGAGCCTCTCATCAAAGGTAACTCCCAGATTCCTGGCTGACTCTGCAGAGGGCAAAATAGATCCATTAATATGTAAGGTTGTAAAGTTATATTGGAGAAATTGTTGCCTATTTATTATTTGAACCTATAATCATATAGTGACTTTTTGTTGCATTCAGGACCAAGCCATGTTTTGTTGACCATTTATATATTTCAGCTAGATCATTATTTACTCTCTGCATAGTCAGACATGAATCCTCTGGAGGCAGCATAGAGGTTGACTGAGAGTCCTAACCTGCTCTGGAAGATCACTTGTGTAAATATTGAATAATAAGAGGCCAAGTACACTTCCCTGTGGGACCCCAAGTGACGTCTCAACAGGCTCCGATCTTGCCCCCTCAAGCTCCACAACCTGTGTTCTTGGTTGGAGATAACTACTAAACCACAGACAGACCCTCTCAGAAAAACCATAGTACCTCAATTTCGCGACTAAAAGATCATGATTGCTTAGGTCAAATGCCTTGCTGAAATCCAGTAGGACCAAGCAGGACACTTTCGAGGAATCAATGCTTGTAACAATTTCAGTGGTGACATTTGTAAGGGCTGTAGCAGTACCATGGTTCTTTCGAAAGCCTGACTGTGTTACAGGTATAATACTATATTTATCAACAAATTCCAAGAGAATATCTGATACTATAAATTCAAACATTTTTGCAAACACTGGCAGCAGACAGATGGGTCTCAGCTCAGAAAAATTTTCTATTTTGTTGTTTTTTGGTAAAGGCCTAATCAAAGAGGTTTTCCATATTGTTGGAAACTCTCCTGTTTCCATAGACCTGTTGACAATTTCAGCAACATCATATGCAACACTATTTATGCTAAAAAGTATCATATTGTAGCTTATTTTATCTATGCCCATGCTTTTGGACTTAATTCTCTTAAACGATTTGAGTACATCATATTCGGAAATTTTTACAAAATCAAGTGTATTATCATCAGGTCTCTCAAACCTGTTAGAGTTATAAAAATTGAGGAGAGTATCATCAACCGCAACAGCTAACTGACTCACACTGGCAAAAGCTTGACTAATTTGGTTAACATTTTTTAAGTGTTCAGGTAACAAACTATTAGTTTTTGAGTGGATGTTCCAGTTATATCAGACCATAATTTTTTTGTGTTTACTAAGTTCAAAGTTCATGTATGCTTGTTTTTCACTGCGAATTGCAAATGATAAGTAGTTTTTGATGTCTAAATAAACAGATTTATGCTCCACTAGGCCCGTTCTTCTAAATTTCTTAAATGCTTTTTCCTTTAATTTAATGATTTCCCTTATGGTATCCGTAAGATACGGTTTATATTTATGTTTTATCACAGTGGATTTTAGTGGAGCGTGCCTATCGAAAATGTCAGTTAATTGCTCGTTGAGTACTAGCACCATACTATTTACAGATTCCTGTTGCATGATTACGTCATAATTTATATGCTGGATATCTTGCTCAAACTCAAGTTTATTAAAATGTTTAAAATCTCTATATGTAATTGTTTTTTTTACTAGTTTGGGAGCTACAATATTTACTAGAGAATAAATTAGTCGATGGTCAGTCATATTGAGCATACCCATAGTGCCACTGTTAAGAACATCTATATTATCATTTACACAAATAACATCTATTAAAGTTGAACTATTTCTACTTACCCTTGTCGGGTCAGTAATAATTTGTTTCAAACTGAATACTTGCAACAGGGATTGCAAGTATTTGTACTCCACTGAGTTAGACAAGAAATTGATATTCAAATCTCCCATTAGGATAACATGATTATAAGTTGCATATAAACTAGATAATACATTTTCTACACTAGATAAAGATTGATAGAAAACTAATGGGGGTTTATATAATGTACCTATTAGCAATGTTTTGTTTCTATACTTCACTTCTACCCACAATTGTTCCAGTGAGTCACTTGTAAGTACCTCTGATATGCTAACTGCCAAACTTTGCAAACAATCCGATACGTACAAGCAAATACCTCCTCCCCTACTAGCTTTGTCTGCTCTGAATAACTTATACCCAGGGATATTCACGAGGTTGTCAGGATATTCTTGTGTAAGCCAAGATTCAGTTATTCCAAAAATATGAAATTTTTGTTGTTGCAACAGGTCACAGACATCAGGAAAGCATGGAACAAGGGACCTGATGTTAACATGACCAATATATAAATTATGGTCAGTACTACTATTAGTTTCTGGTAGGTTCTTCAAGTCCTCAACATTTAGATGAAGCACTGATGATTGAGAATCAATATTTATTTTACATTTTGTTTGGTTGGAGGAATTTTGTGATGTCAGCAAATTATATAATTTGAAGATCGTAACAATGGTAGTTAGGCTCATCATTGGGATTTAGTAAACCATAAGAAATAAGTTTAATGAATTGTAATGAAGTTGCGCATTTAGGTATAAATATTTTTAAACAACAAAGACAAATGCCCAAAAACTATACAGATTTGTAATTTGTACATTCTTACATTTTGTCTCCAATTTCTTCGCATTCCTTCAAAAGTTGAAACAGTAGAAACATTTTGGAGCTATGGTTGATATTGTCCAATTCGTCTATAGGGATGTACTCTTCCCACCATTCTTTGCGGCGAAAAATGCGATCATCTAGTTCAGTATCTGATATTGAAACAACTTCACCGGCGTCGCGTTTTTGGGCTGCTTGAGCTCGTGTAAAACGAGTCTTTTGGCTAAAAAGAATCAGTTACACAAAAATCTCGATAGAAAGTACTCTTTTATTAGTTTTCAAAATCTTTCTAATAGTTGAACCTCAAATTTTGTCCTTATAGTAGTTCTTACCCTGCACGTTTTCCACTCTTTTTCTCCTTCTTTTTCTTCTTATGCGAGTTGGCTGAAGCATTGGAACCATCACTATCTGAATTTGAACTCTCATCTGGGGTACTTTCAGCCGATTCAGAATCGTCATCAATGAAATCTGCAATAGAACCTTCCGATTCTTCTGATTCATCACCGTTTTTCTAAAAAGATTTTCAAAATAATGACTACCATTTGTATGTTCAGCTATGCTTCATATTTTATATGAACAGAAACAAGAGAGTTGAAATAAAATGTAAAGCTTCACTTACCTCCTTCTTATCTCTGTCCTCGTTACTTTTATCTAATAATACTCTAGGATGAGTACAAATCCTTTGTAATTGTTGAAAATCAGCAAACAAAAACGAAGTCTTATTGGATCCATCATTTTGCCTGGCCAAATTTTCTATATAGTGTTTATACAATTTAATCTAAAACAAATTATTTAGCATAATCGAATCTTACATGAATTTCAAAGTCCATACCTGTACATCGGTTAATTTCAAAAAAATTATGTATTCGTATTTAGGTGGCAAATAGGGCGCCAAAACTTCGTAATCTTGCCGTTGAACCACTCCATCTAAAAGTTTGTGTAGCACGTGAGATCTACGCCTCATCACCATTATATCGTGTTGGGTTGAGTCTGTGTATTGTCCGTTTGTAATGGGATTTACAAATCTGGAAAAAAAAAACATTGAACAATGATATTTTAGAATCAAAACCATTAATGATGCAAAAATACAGTAAAATTACCTGTTCAAATATTCCTTATAAGTTCCCAACAAGTTGGGTTTGATAAACTGTACCATGCACCAGTACTCTCGCAAGTTATTTTGTAAAGGAGTACCAGTCAGTACTATTCTCCTGGCCGTTTTTATCCTGTTCATTGCAATGCTAAGATTTGTTTTCTCATTCTTCAATAAATGTCCTTCGTCACAAATTACTAAATCTGGACCAGGATCCACTAATCCAGTCTGCAACGATTGCCTTAGCTTTTTCGATAAAGTTTTATTATCTGGATTACTGAGAGTCCTAAACATGTTGTAGCCGATGATCAGTACTCCGCCATCATCGTGCCAACATTTAATAATGTAATTTCGTTCTTGGTTTACTGAACTGGTTTTGCACGAGACCAATTCGTAAATATCGAAATCGTCCGTTTTGGGCATCCACTTTCTGAATTCGTTTTTCCAATTAATGACTGTGTTCACTGGACAAACTACCATTATACGTTCTACTTTGGTTTTTTCTTGGTTCATTAGCAGGGTGTGGGCAAGAGCAATTACCTAAAAATATCAAATATTATGGAGTGAGCTAGGATATCTGTTTTTTGAAGTCAAATAGTTTGATATGATTATTAAAATTTTTCGAAATTGAAATTGAAAAGGTTAAATATAAATAACAGGCCGGCGGCCGTTAAATTAACAACCGCCGGCCGTTAAAATAATGGCCACTGGCTGGGAGAGTGTTTTTTTGTCAGATTGAAAGATATCTGCAGTATTATGAAAAATCTAGAACGAAACACGGCCGATAATTGCAAATAACAGCCTTGGCTGATTATAAATAATCCTCGGCCATCGGCTCGGATCACAAACTTCAGCCCGGCCATTATTTGCTACTTATCGGCCTTATAACGTTAATAGCTATAACAAAAAGAGGATTATCCTAGAAAAATATACGATGAATTATTACAAAAATCATAACAATATTGAAGCAATAGCTAATGCAATAATTCAGATCCCTCACTTGACATTTTCGAGCATAAAAAAAGGCAGGAGCCCCTTGTTATGTGGTTGACCATTCATAATTTTATTATGTAAGCGAATCTCTTAAAAATGAGGGTTAGTGTAGAGCCACCCTTAGGTCGTATTCGAAAGAAAAAGAAGATTGCGACTGGTGGAAACATCAGTAATCAGTATTGACCATATTGACACACATACGGAGAAGAAGGAAATAAGGGTGATGGATGGACGACGGTCGTCCATTTTGGGATATACCGGGTGCCCACGAGATCACTTTCCGGCTGCCATTTTCTTATTTGTCTATCAATATCAACGAAACTTGGTAGGGTTGACATTCTAACCAAACGCCATTTTTATGCATTATTGACAAGTTTTGTTGACTTCCGGTTTCACCGGAAATGACCGGAGCTTTTAATTTTTAAATGGCACACCCTGTAGATTTTCTGTTTTTCGGATTCTACAGATCGTTTTACGTCCTAATGCACCACTTTTGAATCAAGTTTTGTCCAAATTTTGTTTTCAAATTAAATTTTAATTTTTTAACTAGAGTGCCATGATTATCCTAAAATGACTCTACATACTTTATAGTTGGGGAGCTGGCGTCAAAAACATGCAAGAGTTTTAGCAAGGCGGATATTTTCAAAATAGGTCGTACTTTAGTGCTAGAATGCTAGTGTACAGTCAGCACTCACAGTTCCGGGACAGCTGGCTCTGGGACGCGGGCAAAGTTGTAATTTTAAGAAGCATCTAAACTGTTTTCTCAAAGCTCAAAATTTATAGAAATTTTGCACATTATCTGTTTGAAGGTCACAGAAAACGTATGTAAATCGTCAGACGTCTAGTTCGTTGCAAAAAGGGGGTCAGACGTCCTCAAAGTTTTTATTTTATGGCATTTTCTTCGGTGTCCTGTCAAAATATATTTTTGCAGGTATCTGACAAATATATTTGAAGAAAATGCCATAAAATAAAAACTTTGAGGACGTCTGACCCCCTTTTTGCAACGACTAGACGTCTGACGATTTACATACGTTATCTGTGACCTTCAAACAGATAATGTGCAAAATTTCTATAAATTTTGAGCTTTGAGAAAACAGTTTAGATGCTTCTTAAAATTACAACTTTACTAAAATAAAGAATGAAGCTTCATCAAGTTATGAATAGTCATCTACATGAATCTATGTTGAATAGTGCATCGGTTACAAGAACTAAGTTCATTGATATTATGAAATTAAACCTTGATATTAAAGAAAATTTCTTTGACGGGAGCTTCCACGGAATATTCATAATATAAATGAATATTAACATGAATAATATGAATATGGTTCATATGACCTTACTAGAAAATTATCCTTTTAAGAACGAAATTCATTGATACAATGTACGGTTCATTTAAAACAAGCAAGTATTCCTAGAAACAAAGCTGCAACCATTACATCAAGATAAATCATAAATACAATGAAACAGTTCATAGCATTAATGTAGACAGTTCCTAAGCACATGCGCAAAGGTAGCTGCAGTCGGGCAACGACATAGAAAAATATGTTGAAATAGGAATAATTACATTTCTATTTTCTGGGTGCACTGCTACGTACTTCGTTCAAGTCGGTTTTTTCGGTTTTGTGTTGTTCGAAGTGTTAAATAGAAAGTCGATTATACCTGTCGCCGGTTTTTTCTAAAGGTAAGTTGTATACCTCTATTACCTCTATAATATGTATACCTATTATGTAGGTAGGACTTGGATGCCTTGCACGGAGACGGTCTAGTCTCAAAATGGGAATGCGAAAGAAATGACCTACAGATTTAAATGTCATCCGGGGAGAACGTGAAAGACAAAAGCGTCAAGAGCGCCTCAGAATTTCTAAGGAATACTGAAGTCTCTAAAAGTAAGTATACCCAATCTCAAATCAAGTTGTAATTTTTTTAATCGATATATTTTTGTTAAATGGTTTTGTTTCACTAGGTAGAAAAGCAGAAGATTCAATACCGCAGCTAGTGTTTCATAGCCGAGGCAAGGAAACCAGCCAAGGCATCAAATCTAATGATGTGGCTTGTTTTAGAAACTTTGGATGTTGATAGTTCAAAAACAGCTGGAACAAATATAGATATATTTTATATTTATGGAAACAGGATTTAAGGAGGATTTGGAAGATAATAGAATATACGGTTAGTGTCATTTAAAATAAAAATACATAAGTAGGTACTTAGATTTTTAAATTTTCAGATTTTGGGATGCCCATTGGTTTGTTTGACAATTCTGGAAGATGATACGAAGAAACCATGCAACTTTTGCATTTTTTTCCTTTTGCTCATATTCATCAGTACAGGGGACACGCAAATATAAAAAATGACCCTTTACCCCATTTAAAATCATAAGTATATTTAAGGCATAATTCATGAAATTATTTTAATAAAAATCAAGAATATGGTATATATTATTGAAAACGTCATTATTAAATATAATGAATGCAATTCTTAGTATTCAAGACTGTGATTCATAAATACAATGAAAGGGTTTCATCAAATTATATCTGGGCTTCATTAATATTATGCCGTCTGTTCATCAGGACAATGAAAAAGTACATATAAACTAAGAACGATGTTTATTGTTACTATGAAAAGTTTCATTAATACAAAAACCTTACTACATACCTTAATGTTCGTTGTTCATACACAAGATGAATCGAAATAGGAATTAAGAAATTGTTCATACTTCAATAACCTAGAGTTCATGTAATCAAAGAAACCGTTCTTTGGACCGATTTTAATGAATTGTTCATTAAATCTAAGAACAACTTCTTTTTATTTATGCTACTATTTGGTTGAGTGTATAGAAACTTTTGAGAAGTTATACGTCGACTAGAGAGAGAAACGAAACTCTGGCTACTCCCAATCGTCCCTTAGATAACGCTATAGTTGCTATACAAAATACACCCAAGTCTCTTGTGACAACAAGCACAAACTCTTGAAGTGACTCTACTTCAAGACAACCAACAAATAGTGCTGATGACGTAAACGTTACGCGCGGCACCACGTAATTTAATTGATTATGATTCAGTAGAATCCGCTCCAGACGTACGTAATACCAAGTGGTGGTTCTAATATTCTTGCGCCTATGGAAAATGAGTCACAAACGAGAATAAGACAGTTAGAAGACCTTGTGAACCAATTATTACAAAAAGACATAGAACGAAATACTTACAAGGGTTTCTATCAGACCAGATTGCATATCAGCATCTGATCCGGCGAATCAAGGTGAAAATTATGGGAAATGGCTTGATAAAATCGATCAACTAACCCAAATAAATCATTAGAATGAAAAAACTATTATACAGGGTGTCCCACGGTGGATGGTGTATAAGGTGTTAATGGAAAACTAAAAAGCGGATCATTTTGAAAATTTGACAACCGGGATAAATGACCATAATCTACACTTTGAAAATATTTATATTTATGCGGTGTTCCCGCTTCTACTCTAAACCAGTGGCAACATTGCTATTTTGAATGGAACATCCTGTATTTGATTGCATATTTGGATTCTACGTAAAATTCTGAGCAGATTTCATGTAATATAGGTACCCTATACCTAACTTCAACTGTTTTGGAAATATTGACATCAGTTGAAAATTGACTTTTTGCAACTTTGACAGGCTGTAAAGCCTGAACGGTTAATTTTAGAGGAAAACCGATTTTACATACCTATCTTAGATTTTTATAAACTATCATTTGACACCAACTGTGAATTTATTGCATGATTAAAAATTCCAATTAAATTTAATCTCCGGTTAAATTCAAAGTTGGTGTCAAATGATAGTTTATAAAAATCTAAGATAGGAATGTGAAATCGGTTTTCCTCTAAAATTAACCTACAGCCTGTCAAAGTTGCAAAAAGTCAATTTTCAACTGTCAATATTTCCAAAACAGTTAAACTTATGTATAGGGTATATCACATGAAATCTGCTCAGAATTTTACGTAGAATCCAAAAATGCAATCACATACAGGGTGTTCCATTTAAAATAGCGATGGTGTCACTGGTTTAGAGTAGAAGCGGCAACATCGCATAAACAAAAATATTTTCAAAGAGGTTGCCAAATTTTCAAAATGATCCGCTTTTTAGTTCTCCATAAACATCTAATACGCCATCCACCGTGAGACACCCTGTATATACAGTCTATCATATGCAATCACGTCTATCTGGGTTAGCCAAAACGCGATATAATAACCTGGATATAGCTATAAATATACCTGGAATGAATGGAAAAATGGTGTTTTAATTATAAAGAATTTGAACATAAACAGTTTGATTGTGTAAAACCACGACTAGAATGTACAGTAAGCAAGAACTTGGACACTCAGCGAGTAACTTTTTCAGAAATAAGCCGTCTACACATTAAGGTAATCAATATCCAATTAATTAAGTCAGCTCTAAAATAATATTTGTGTGTCACCAGTTAAAACGCTGAATTACTCCTTTAATGGGAAGAGCAAAATTGAAATGTTACAATTCTCCCCTTTCTTTCAAAGGAGAAAATCTTTCTTCAAAGAT